AAAGTTCTCAAACAGATTGACACAAAGTTTCAAAATACACTTTGTGCATTAACGTAAGAATGGACTTTTTATAAAAGTAAGAGAAGGGTAGCCAATTTGATTTACTGAGACAGATATCATCAGCCAGCGATGGTTGAAGGTTGTTTATAATGCGGGAAGCTCTTGCGTGGATGCAGTTCAGAGAATTCATTGCATAGGGTGAGCAATTTTCCCATACTGAAATACTATATGTTACGCTGGGAATAATAGATTTGAAATAAATTTCCTCAGGTGACTGTTTCGGAAGAATTTTCATTCTCTTTAGTGCTCCAACTTTTTATGTGAAATGCTTCTTCACTGAATCAATGTGCACAGACCATGAAAGTCTGTTGTCGATTTTAACTCCTAGGCAAGTGGTAGAGTCAAACAGGTGAATTAATTATCTACTCACCGTAAGTAGACTTGAAGATGACAGCGTATTTACCCAGTATTTATTCCACAACATCTCAAGAAGCTTTCTATCTAAAGATGACTTGAAATATGCAACCTCCAGTGAATAATATCTGCAAAGATTTAAAAGTTGGGAAGTCACATGTATAGGGACTGTATAAATTATCCTTCCCAGGTCAACAAACTTTTTTTCCATTTCACCCATACTCCCCAGATCTTGGTCCTTTGCACATTAAGTCTACTGATGCAGTGGTATACACACAAGTGCAATTAGCACTTTCCATTTGATTCAGGGTGATCTGAATAATTGTTTGCACTGACTTCCTTGTCATATGAAAATTCAGAGGACAGAGATATTAACTATACGAATTCAAGTCCCTAGGCAGCAGTTTTATAGCATGTTAGTAGTTTTCTTACACCAGTCCTGTAAATAAAATAATTAATGATTTCAAATCTGCAGTTTCATACTGCAATTTGCATATAAATGTTTGTTACTGCTGTTACGCGTGATGTCATGCACTCATTAGCTAGATCCCGAGAGGCGTTGTGAGTTATAAAAAGAAAGCATGTGCTCGATCGAAGTGGGAATCGTTTCAATGCCTGTTTACCGTCATTGTTTATATTATAAGGACACAAACGTACGGTAAGTTTTTTAGGTTTCGTTCCTTGTTTGTCTAGTCTTTTTCCATATTTATAGTTGTAATTTCCTTTGTTTCGTTTAGTTTTCGAAACTGTACCACATTCGTTCAAGATTGTAAAGTCCATTTTATAATTACAAGTACGCGTGTCCGAGTTTGTGTTGTCGAACTGTTTTATGCGTGCACAGTTTGAGATCATCTGCTTACTGTTTGCAATGAACTCCAAAGTCTTCTATCTTGTTCAGAGGAATAGTCTGGTATTCAGAAGGTCCTTCATCTGGTGGCTTGTATCCCTGAATACAAAAGAACACTTAAGTAAAGTTCACCCCACTATTAAATATTACCATGAAATTTTTTCTCTATCTTACCTTGGGATATGTGCGAAATGCTCCAAAATTCACTTTTCCAGCTGAAATAGTTCGTGTGGGATCAATCTATGGCAGAAGCAGATCACCTTAACCTTAGAGCAAGTTGAGTATCAATCAAGAAAGCTTTTAAATGAAACGATTAAGTCTTAATGTGTATGTTGAAATTTGCATCTACTGTTATTTACTGTTGTTATACATAAAACAATTATGGAATTCTGTTTCACATTATCATGAATTATCAAACTCTGTGTCTGTGTTATCTGCATCAGCCTCTCCCTTTGGCAGATGACGCAGATCTCCACATTGATAATTTGTGAAATCATGTTCAAACTCATCCAAAAATTGCCTGATATTACTGTTGAATGTGATTGAGTAGTCTGATCATCTGGGTGAGAGTAGTCCTGAGAAGGAATGTCGTTGATAGCAGTGACTGACATCTCAACAAGTTGAGCTGAAGTCCCAGCCAGATGATAAACTACATGATCACATGTTATCCCCCCCCCCCAGCTTCAAACCAATGACTGTAGCCGCCTCCTGGTTAGCTCAATAGATAGAGCGGTGGACTGTTGTGCAGGAGGTTGAGGGTTCCAGCCAACACTCAAGGTCTTAAAATCATTGAGAAGAATATGCTACCTTTCTATAACATCAAGAAATGGTTAGATATTCTAGTCTTCTCGGATAGGGACGAATAAATGGAGGTCCCGTCTCCTGCAGGGTTAGGGGCAGGAGACGTTAATTTCCCACACACGAGATTACTGTGTGATGGATGTCCTCCCCTGGGGTGGGATGGGTAGGTATGGGATGGGTGGGTAACAGGACCCCTGTTCATACCAGTGTTTACTACACTGGTATGAACTGTATAAATAAAGTAAAATCCTGTATAAATAAAGATGTCTGTCTGTCTGTATTACTGTTAGACTAACCACAATAGCAACAAATGGTTCCTGAAACTGCTGATTCACCATCTGTGTACCAACATCAATTCCTGACAGCCAACAGCCATAACCAGGGTGACTATGGTACCAACCAATGGCATTCTCCAGACGACCAACCTACCATTGACAAGATGCATATTGCCAAATTGTATTTTTCACCCTTGCACCCTGTGTGTTTAAGTCTTGAAAGTTACATGTAAGTTGACACAAGCCATAACCAACTGCTGTGCCAAGACTTACACATCTTGGCATACTTTCTGAATAATTTTTCCTTTAGTACCGGCAAGTCCATTTTCAGCCACAAATAACATATGATGTACACAATAAAAGCCATGTGTTTATCGTATCACTAAATGAAGGGTACCATCAATTCTTCTGAAAAAATAAAATCTTTTTCTTACCAATTTAGATGATTCAATGTACTCTGCCATGTACTCATAAGCTGCAGCCTGTGCATTCACTCTTGTCTCTGTTCCTTCCACTGGTAAAGCGAATGCATCCATGACAATCATAGTGTTGCCATCAACTTTGCCCAACATTAGTCCCATGACTTCTAGTGTACCACCTGACCTAGCATGCATTACCTAATAAAACAAGTTAAAAAAAAAAAGTCACATCAGATTACATTTTATCATATGAATAATAATTTTCCTCCCTTCCTATTTTGGGTTACCATGTTTATTAAGCAATAGAGCAAATTTTCCAAAACACTATAAGCTTTCTGAGTGTCCTGCCAACATCCAAGTGACTTTATCATGTTATAAAGCCCCGAAAAAGTGCGGTCAATTGCTCTTAAGACATAACTAGTTAAGTATGGGCTCTATTTAACAATTATTCCATGAGCGTGCATTGGATATGAGATGTTATAGTTCAACACCTAATTTTGTCCGGTTCTTATTGGTTTTAATCGATCACGTGACACAATAGTGTTCATCCGTGGAGAGACACTTTCAGCCTATAGTGCCCGCCTGCGGAAAATACCCAGATGGATGGTGCCCGTCTGCGGAAAATACCTGGATTGATAGTACTCATCCTTGAAAAGTTTTGAATAGTTTGACGGCTGCGAAGTTAGGCAGATCGGAAAAACAGTGACTTTTCAATTCTGACAGGTATAACGTATTATTTAGCCAATGTACGGTTGCGAATTATTGACATTTGTGACAAGCTGTAGGCGCGGAAGAAAATTTAGTGGTGAACAATAAAAACAATAGAGTGTTTATGTCTCGGAACTATCGGTCTGATAGTTGCCCCTTGGAAATTTGATGTTCTTAAAACTAGCATATNAGTTATTTTAAGACCTTGAGTGTTGGTCTGGCCGGGGCTTGAACTCTCGACCTCCCGCACAACAGTGGCTAGTGCTCTAACCACTTGAGCTAGCCGGGAGGCGGTTGAAGAATGTCCTGTTTTGTTTGAGAGCCAGGAATGAAAGCCAGTTGTGTTTGCAGCACAACAAACTCACAAGAGTTGTTTCTGTTTTCTCTGTTAAGACTATCTTCTGCTGCTTTGTGCGTTGCCATGGCTGACATTGTCCAAGAATTAAGAACGTAGTTCTGATTCAATTTTTTCATGCACAGAATCAATGTGGGAAATCCTTATGCAAGCAGGCAAGATGGGCCCATCTTGCCTTCTTGGGTGACCAATCAGAACACAGGGTTTACTTCATCTTGCTCACAGGCACTGTGAGCGATGTAATAATATAATTTACCAAACCTTGTTTTTTCTACTTGGATTTATGGCCTGCACGCTTTTTTCTTGGGCCATAATTCCCAGCAGAAAAAATTTGGTCCCTAAATAACAGTACAGAACACAAACTTGGTCAGTAACAGGTCCATATCCTAAAATATGAAATCCAGAAGTAGCAACAATAAGTTTTTCATAGAAATATGCGAGGCAGCTGAGAGCTTAAAATACGTTAGCTGCCTGTCAAAAAGAGTAAACAGCTTCCTACCATTTTCAACAAGGCCAGCGCTGAAATTTTGATGTACTTGAAGTAGTGAGGGCTATAGGTGAATTAAAATGAAACGAAGTTAGTAGGTAGTAAATCATATATTAAATAATTCTTTTTAGCTATCAAGGCACATCAGTAAACAATCGAGGTTTTCGTGATGATATGATGTTCCAATATACGAAAATATACGCTAGATGATTTGACACACAAGCCATGTAAATTTTATTTGCTTCGTTGAAAAACTCACTCTTTCTGCCATGGTTTTGCTTGAAGAATTTCTTGCTGTTGCTGGCGGTCATACTTGAAAATCTCATCTACGCTGTTAATTGTCTCCATATTATTGGACATTTCCCAAGTCTTGAAGGCCATAGAGGTATCCATTGAGGACATTTCTAATTTAAGACAGAGAAGAAATTCATGAAACTTGAAAGAAGGACCAAGACGACGGGTATTTACCCATGCTGCTTATCGCGCAGCCCAAGAGTGAGGGTCTGGGACGAGAAGGAAGAGAGGACGCCATTTTAACAAAAGTACTGTCAACACTGAAGCGGGTTTGTTTCGAAGCGATCCCTTTCTTGTCTTCCACGCCTAGTGTGTTTCAAAACAATACTTTGATATGAGTGAAGCGTATCCATCTACGGTAAGTGTTTGAAGCAGTAACTTAAAAGTACTAAGCCCTTTTTATCAGCCACATGCTTTCCACTTTCTCTTTGTTTTGTGTTTGCTACCGGCTTTTTGTCATCAGCTGTTGGCAAGACCTTTCTTATCATCACGCGTTAGATTCATTGTTCTACATTGTTTATTTGAGTTATTTATCACAGTTTGTCCCTCGCTCCACGAAATAAGCGTACTTGGACGCGACGGTCATTATTCAGAACTAAATATTTACATGAGATCTACAGACAGGTGTTGAATTGATATGTGAAATGAATTTCGACTCAATTGCTGAACCTTCTGTGCGATCTTCACATAAAAGATTGATCAGATTTCTCTTGAAGAAACAAATCGGTTTAAAAAGGCATGAACTGGAATGAATAAAATTAATTGAATGACGAGAATTTCACAGCTGTATAGTTGGTTCTGCATAAAAAAAATATGCTACCTCGAGAGTGAAAACAAATATGTTTCTTAGCTTGTGAAGCCATCATTTAGTCACTGCTTTCCATCTGTTTGGGTTGATACTGCATCACAAACAGTACATGTATATCAGATAATTCTTCATAACAATGTATTTTACAATAAAAGTCTACTGTGCTACAATGAACATTTTATGCACTGTACATATATCAGATCAGTACTGAGAATTAAGATGTAAATGGGTGACAGATGCTGTAAGAACAAACAAATAAAGTTGACACAAATGTGTTTCGTAATGATCACAAATTTAAAAATGTTTGCAAACAGAAAAACTGTAATTTATCCATATGTTCATCTACAATAACTTTAATTTTATATTCCCATTTATATATTGGAAATGTGGCATGTTATCAATTTAAATTTTCTTGAAAATCAGTGCACAGTTGGAGTTTTATCCAGGATAGTATTTCCAAGCAAACAATGTTGGAGACCAATATAAAGAAAACTCCTTTTATTCAAAGAAATTAAGCTATAGTAGTTTTCTAAGGAAAACCCTTGACTCTGGTTGGTCTATGTATTTGTTTCATATTACACATAGCCCTTAGAGAGCAAGGAAGAAATAGTCTCCAAGGTTGATACTAAAAAAAAGTATAGTCACTGTGAGAAAATTCTATGTTAATTACTTTGCACAATAGAATACTACCTTGAATTAGACTCTGGTATATTTGTTAAAAGAATGATTGATCTTCACTGAAGTTTTATTGTGGAGGAAAGGTAGTACCCTTTGTCTTTAGTTATTGTTTAAAACATCTTTTGATTCCTGATTTTGGTTTTGTGACAAAGAGCTGCAGCTATGACTGAGTATGAAACTGGATTTTTGTTTCAAAGAGGATCACAATTTAAGTTTTACAGCCTGAAAACATTTTCATGCTGTGTCCTGTTAAGTGAGTCAATTGTGGTAACATTATTGTGGTCCAATTCCCTTGTTCTCCTCAGGGTCAGTCTGAAGCAGCACAACTTCTAGCCACTTTCTGGCCGAGGCAGATGCAAGAAATCAGAAATATGAATACAGTAAGTACTCTGAAGGACGGAATGTATAAAGAGAGGGAATTTTAGCCCAGTATACAACATTACTTACAGTATATGTAAATAGGTTTTGGACTAATTCATGTGTATTAATGCTCAAATGTTGACATTCCAGACTCTAAACTCAATTCTCATTGCTTGATAGTTGAGTTTTGAGTTTTGATTATCAAGAATCATAGTTTTAGTTTCAAGAATCAAGAATTGAGTTTGAAAAAGCTTGAGGAATTCTTCAAGGAAAATAATTAATTTGATCTAACACAGAGCAACTATGTTAGACAAAGCATTTGATACTCAGCTTCCTTAGTGGTGATAGTTTCAGTGGTTTCCATTTTCCACAAGACATAAGTCCTTTTTTAAATACTAGTAATAACAAACAAAATATTCCATCACATCTGCAGTACATTTGTTACATTCCAATGTATTCTGTCTTTCAGTTTGTCAACCATTTACTCATTTTTTGAGAGGGTAACTTGAAGTCTCAGTCATTTTAATTTACTTCTGTTGTTTCTTAGAATGATTTCAAGGTTCAAGAACTACCATTAGCAAGAATCAAGAAGATTATGAAGCAAGATGAGGAAGTTAAAGTAAGTTTTTTTGTTTCTAAGTTCTTTTGCAGTTTACTTTCACATTGGCATGGGCTTTGTTTTAATACACTCTTGTCTGTATACCAGATTTGTTTAATTAAGTATGACCCTTAGTGTATCTTTAAATGATGTTCTCCTTTGATTTGTGCTCAGACAAATTATCATAATTTAGTGAAATTTTTTTCTTTATGCATTAACAACCTCCTGACTTTTCATATTTTGGCACACTGAGTCAGTTGTTATAGATTTGTAGACTTTATTTCAATGTAAATATGTACCAGGGCTTGAAAAATAGTTGAATTACACCTTGCCTGTTGGGCAAGTAACCCTTAAGTTTTGCTTGCCTGGGGCACTTCCCTGCTTGCCCAAGTTTTCAAACTAATTAATAATTCATGAACAGAGATTTACCTGGATTTTACCCGGATTTTAGCATCAAAGGGCTAGCTTCGTTTTCGCAGTAGAAATATGGGACTTCTCAGTTTTCATATACAATTTCTACAGTTTTAATTAATATATCGCCGTTGAGTTAAGTTTTGTATAGAGAAACCGAAACATTCTCGCGGAAAATTGCTACAATTAAGAAATAAACACAGCGTTTTCATTCCCAACGCAGCTATTTTTATCCTGGAAAGAAATTTGATCAGGGAAGATTTTGATCACATGCTAGGCAACCACTTCTGAGCCGCGAGGGCGCGTCACGCAATCAACAAAACAACGCTATAAATTGTAATTTTTGTCATGCTTCATCTAAACACTCGATTACCCTTGGGCCTAAAGCTTACCTTTTCTTCTCAAAATCGTTATGAAAAATTTAGTCGGTGAACGACTTGACCGCTGGGTCCTTACCCATCGGGCAAGGAAGGAGAGAAAGTTACTTGCCCGAAGGGAAAATCTACTTGTCCCTGACGACCGGACAGGGGTTTTTTTCGAGCCCTGACTGTACCGGTATAATTTTATAGATGCAAGTTTTATTGCATAGTTAAAAACAAAACTTTTAACTTCTACTAAAAATATTTGTCTTGTATTTCTTTTACAGATGATCAGTGCAGAGGTAAGTATCAGTCCTGTTTATTATTGTGGAATATGTGTTGTAGATCAGTGCAGTTTGCTGAAAAGATGATGCAAGCATTAAAATATCGTCATCTTTTCATGGTATCATTCCCATTGGTTGTTCTAGTTTTCCTGTTGTTTTTTTTTTTTTGCATTGCAAAGCTCACTCGACATGAGATATTGTTAGTCTCTGCCTTTCCATTTATTTATTTTTCCACCCTGTGGTTGTGCTGGTTAATTGTAACAAAGGGTGTTAAACAGACTGTGATACTCTTTTTTGGGTATGACCTGTTTTCTGATGTATATTAATCAATTAATAAGGTAATTTTAGTTTGACTGTTGATAAGTTGTCATCAATAGGCTGATTTCATGGATTTTATCGAACGTCTGTCTTCTTTTACACTCATGTTTTCCCATATTCTCCTACTACTTTAGGATGTGTATACACATAGCACAAAGGAAATTTCTGTGATGTACACATTTGTAGAGTGTTCTATTACATTAACTTCCCTTTAATGTAAGATTTATAGTTACTGGTTCTTTGTAATTTGGAGATTTGATTTTTCTCTATTATTTTAGGCTCCTGTTTTATTTGCAAAAGCAGCTCAGATTTTTATTAATGAGTTGTCACTCAGAGCTTGGATTCACACAGAAGACAACAAGAGAAGAACTCTCCAGGTACAGCAAACATAAATTTTTTCTTCTTATCTTAAGTGGTCCTCTCAACAGGTCAGCTTTTGTTACTGAAGGAAGTAACTGAGAGGTAGTGCTTTGTGTGTGTGTGTGTGTGTGTGTATGTAAATAGTGCTTTGTGTGTGTGTGTGTGTATGTAAATAGTGCTTTGTGTGTGTGTGTATGTAAATAGCCCTCCGATGAAGGGCTAACGCTCGAAACGTCAGCTTTTATAACCGTAACGGTGGTCAATTTACTCTTTCAACTTTGTTGATATATTCAAATTATTTCATTACCCCAACCGACGCAGTGCCAAACAGTTTCTTTAGAAACTATCAGCCTTTATTCATTTGTATGTAAATATACTTAATTCACCACTACCATATGGGCCTTTTCAAGCCCAATATGAACAAATTGAATTACTTTGAATAGCAAGGTGGAGGACTTGAACTGATCACAAGCCCAGTATGCTAACCACTCAGCTGCACTGCCTCAATAATCAGATGTGATACTGCTTGAAATCACAAGAAAAGTAAATGTAAACAAGGTTTGAACATGTTAACATACTGAAAGTACTGGCGGTTTTTTACTTTGACTGACACACAATTATTACTAATTGTTTTCACAGAGAAATGACATTGCTATGGCAATTACCAAGTTTGATCAGTTTGATTTTCTCATTGATATTGTGCCAAGAGATGAGCTCAAGCCTCCTAAGCGACAGGTAGAGATTAACGACTGTCATAAACTTATTTTGTTATTACACTCATGGAAAAGAAGTCTTGGCATACTTAAATTGAGATAATTATACTAAGAACACATAAGTTACAAGTACATGATTCCAATTATTACCAACAAAAGATTATGAATAAATGTATCTTATTAGACATTTTGTTGTGTAGTATCACTGAGTATTTTTATGAGTTGTGCTGTATTTTTACAAGCCTGTAGGGTGAGTCAAAATACAAATAATGAGTAAAAATACTCAGCAATACTACACAACAAAATGTCTAATAAGTTATTTACGAGGAGTGGGTGACAGAAGTATGTGAAGCTGTTTTTCTTTGTTCAATTCATCTAATAAACTTGGATCTATATATGCCAGCCATTCCGACTCTTCATGGTCCAAATTATGATTCAAATTGTCCACCATTTTTTTTTTTTAAACTTCAATCCAATTCTTCACTCATGCGATGCGAGAAAACCTGTTTAACTGGTACTCTAGAGTACAAATACCGCGTGATATTTGTACTCATCTATGCCTTTATTTGTACTCTATGAAGTGTAGTTGGATAATAAAACAGTAAAGTCCATGTATGTGAGCAGGAATATATTTGGGCCATACCTAGAGTCATTTTACCCCAAGCTGCTAGGTGAGGTTAAAATGACTCTGAGAATGTTTGAAAACATATTTATGCTTAACAGCATAAACTGTATTACTATAACTTTGGACGGCATTGAGAAAATATAAACTAAATAAAAAAATGACATCAAAACAGTCTTAACAATTACACAAGTGTGGGAGTGGGATAAAATATATTTTAGCCTGCCAAAATCTCATTTCAAAAATGCAATTATTAAGAACTGTTACTGACATGAAGTTTTATCATGGTTACATCAGGATCCAATTCGTCAGACTGTGGTTGCTCCAGATCAAGTTCAGTACTACTTCCACCTTGCCCAACATCATGCAGTTTCAATGCAACAGCAGCAACAACAGCCCCAGCAAGGACAGCAGGCACCACAAGCACAACAGCCACAACAACAGATAGCAACACAAGTGCAACAACAGCAAGTGGCAGCCAGCACCCAGCCTCAGACTATTATAACTGGTGTGCCAGCACAGCAAATTGTCACCATGGCAGTAAGTTGCGTTTACTATAACCAAAAGAGCAGCAAAAGTCTTACGAAATTTTGATAAAATTTAATGATCCTGGGGAGATCAGAGATGCTGAAAAATCGACTTTCCCAAGTCTGCTTATCCCTTTACACCCTAACAGTACGCGTATTTTCCATACTGTTCTCTATACAATTTTTTAAAACGCTGACAAGGAGAATTTGTTTAACAATCAAGAGCTTCTGTAATTGGTGATCATTTCCTCTATTCTCAAGACCTTAAGGTATGGTTCAGAAGGAAGGAAAAGGAGGCCTTTCATAGCAATGCGCATTAATTCGTTCATCTTTTGTTTCAGCCAGGACAAGCTCAGATGATACAGAACCAGCCACAAGAACAAACTGAAGTTCAGTATCCTGTAAGTAAAAATGCTATCACCTTACAATATATTTGGGATTTACTTGTGCATTCCACCAAATGAGCATTTTCAGGCATTTCTCATGATTGTAGGGATACAGCCCCAGCCCTCCTTTACCTTAAAGGGAGAATTACAAATTGGATACCCCAGAATTAGGAAGAATTAGGTTTATTATCATGCCTGTGCATTGGCATTTCAACTTGTCTGAGAGGGTTTGGGTTATCCATGGGTAACTGACATCAACACACAGGATGAAGTCCATATACATGGACCAGGGAAAAGTTTTATATTTTCATAATGTGGGTTAATTGGACTACCTAATGTAAAATCACTTTGTTTTCTGCCAGTTTTTGAAACCTTGCACACGGGCACTTGGCATCAATTAGTGAATTTCTTGTTTGAAAGGAGTTTACTACAGAATTAACAAAATGGCAAGATAAATCTTGCCATTTTTGGTGACATTACTGTTACAACTGTATATTGTGAGTGTTCAAAATACAAATTTACAAACAATTTAACTGCTGGATGATAAGGAAAACCATTGTTGGTATAATCAAGCAAAGTTATATTCCTGTGGTAAAAAAATTGTCACTCTTCATACTTATACTTCTGCTATCCACAGCTCCATTTCAACTCTGCTCAAATGCAGTACATCCGCATGCAGCAGATTCAGCAACTTCAACAACAGCAACAACAACAACAGCAGGCGCAAGGCCAACAGCAGGCACAACAACAAACAACCCAACAACAACAGACTGCACAACAACCTGCACAAACAACTGCTGAACAGGCACAACAGCAGGCTCAGCAGCAAGCACAGCAGGCCACAGCTCAACCAACAGAGTTTACATTCACTTCTGGCGGACAGGTGAGAAATGACACAGATCATAGTTATCATTTTAAATCTAACTTCAAAGAGCTTTGTATAATTTGTCATAAATTCACATCTTAAAAAAATACTTGAACAGTATGTTTGGATATTACACATTATGTAATCTGGCAAGGCAATATTAGAACATAGCTAGCAGAGCCGCGCAATCAAATTCAGTATACGTAAGCGTGCTCAAAATCCCGATAGTGCACGCTGATAGCGTGAACAAATCGCTTCGCCAGAATTTTTTTTTTCGCGCGAGCGGTCATTGTTAGCACGGGGAAAAATAATATATTTCGCGTCAATAATGGATACAAACAGAGACTCGGCCTCCTAGTCCCAAAACGAAGATCGGAAATTTTTCGACCTCTTCCCTTGGGCTAGTGTTCTTAAATGAGGCAAAAAAAGAGAAAAACAACGGAAAAGGAGACTCGGTATCAGCGCCGTCACGATTCCCTTCAGTTGATATTGTGGTAAACTTAATCAGGTGAATAACCAGGCAGGTAACACAGGTATAGCCCGTTAAAAATATGAGATTCTTCTAGTAAGTTAGGAATTTGTTTAACAATTGTCCATACGGCACTATTAAACCAGGCAGGTAACACATCTATAGCCTGTTAAAAATATGGGATTTTTCCAATAAGTTAGGAATTTGTTTAGCAATTGTCTACACGGCACTAGATTTAGGAAATATGCTGCACTCATACGTGAAAGGATTTCCAACAACATTCAATTTTCCCCCACCTCAAATCAGTACCGTCCAAAGAAAAATCCAACCAGACTAACATGAGATGAGATAAGGAATCTAATCCCCCCTCAAGGTACTGTATCACTCTTATACCTCTCCCCCTGTCACTGGCAGATAATTGGCAGTCAATTTTACTTCAGTCCCCCTTTATACTTTGTTGAGGACGACTGATCCCCTACTTACCCCCACCCCAACCACCACCCCCTCTTCCAGGGGATAAGTAATGACTCGGAACCTATGACAACAGTGATACTCCTGACGTAAATATCATTCAGTCAGTGTACCTCTTGTTCTTGTCCGCTACCAACAGATTTACCAAATTCAACAACATCCACACACTGGTGTTACTGCTGTAGCTGTAGCCGCGCCACAGGGAACCTATATTCAGCAGCAAGGCGCCACAGCAGAACAAGCATCACTCACTACCGAGGCACAACAACAGCAATAGGAAGGTAACCAAACCGCACTTAACTTATGTGATAGAATAAATTCAATCTGCGTAGAGGTTCAATCAGTAGACCGTACTTCTATATGCGACGTGTAGGTCGATGACTTTGTGGAGAGTGTGCATGACTACTACTGGTACATGCGTTCATGAACCAAATGATTTGCGAATGGACTTTTACACCTAACTTCCTCTGACTACAAACTGAAACCTATGGTAGTCCTTCCAATCATAAGAATACGAGTTTTATAATAGCTAGGGAGAAGCGAAACAAAAGTCTCCGTTGTAGGTGCTCTTGTGATGTTACAAGCGGTACATAATATCCCAAAGCTGGTCTGTGAAGAAGACCAGTGAGGAGGCGGTTACAATGGTGATGACGATTACGACAACAAAGCGCTTTGCGATTGAGTGTTGTACAACGAAAATATAACGAGGCGCCAATGAGATTTCGAAGTAAAAGTAAAATGCCTGAAGCGCGGGAAAACGCGTTGACCAAGTCGCAATTGGTCTTAGGTTTGAATCTGATTGGTTTAGAGAGTGGCGCGAGTTTTTGGACCGGTTGCAACGAAGTGAAGCAAAACCAAAGCAATCCTGGATTACTTTCGACACTCAGTTGGAAAGTGCTCTAATGTTCACTCTTTGATGACTAGGTTTTCACAATTTTATTTTTACTTTCCAGGTTACTGAGCTCGTAAGGAATCCACTCTAAAGTTATCAGAAATGGAACAATGGAATACATTCTGCTCATGTAAATAACACCGCTGCTTAACATTGGCGTGACGATGTGCTTCTGTTGACTATCAAAGTGAACTAATTTATTTTTGCTGTGATTACTGCCGCTGGCTACATTGATATTTTATAAATATTTTACACGTGCTGTCACGCAATCGGATAGAGTATATAACAAGAAAAAGCCAAAATTCGGAATGGTTTTTCTTGTTGTCAGAGTCCAGTGACTGGAAAGAAATCCGTAGAGTTAAATTTTTTGGGATCAATGCTGTCAGTGCTGAGCAACTGCGCACATACCCCTCCCCCAACCCAACGTTTACCTTAAGTTGTTATCAGTTGACTGATGTTGTGTTGGGGGGGGTGGGTGCGCAGTTCCTCAGTTACTGATACTGATCCAAAGTTTGCAAGAGAGTAGGAAAAGTGAGTGAAGATACTTACGTGGAAGAACCGAAGATGTACAAAGACTGGTTTCCAAATTATATCAGATAGCATTTATTCGTTTGCTGTTTCTACTTCATCATTTTAAAACAATCACCTTTGACGAACTCAAAGCAATCAAAGGAAAGATATATCAGTTTTCTACCCAACCATTATCAAAGTCTTAAAAGTTTTCGAAAATATGTTTACTAACGCGATTTTTCCTGTGCATGCTCAACCCCGCACTCCTTGGTACTTATTGAACTTAAGTTGACCTTCTGCAAAGCAGGCACTTCATGAAGCTCTTATCTCGCTGTATTCTCCTTTTCTCCTCCTCTGTGAAGGGCCTGCTCGGTTTTAGTTAAAAAGCCAACCTAAAACTTCTAAAGTAGAGGCAGCTTCTAGTTCATTATCTCGCTTTATTACACGACTCGGGCAGTCAGAGGGGCAATAACTAAAATCAACCAATCAAAATGCTCTATTGCCGGTCCAATATTCTCTAAGTATTGGACCGGGCACTGTCCCGAATGGTCCCGAATGATACCGCACTTGTGTCCCTTTGAACTTCAGTCGTATAATAAATCTCTTATTAGCCAAGCTTGCTCGGGACCGTACTGGAAGAATATCGGCCCTCGGTCTTTTTTGTACGGACCTCGCTGCGTTCGGTCCGTACTGTCAAGACCTCAGGCCGATATTCTCCCAGTGCGGCCCTCGCGCTTGGTTAATAAGATATTATATATATTATCTCTTTTTCCCCTCCTCTTTGAAGGGCCTGTACTGAGACGGTTCAAAACCAACTTCCAAAGTGATGTCAATGTACGATGCCTTTGCTGTTCAGGGGAACTCCTTTCTCTCTATCTCTTCTTTCTTTGATCGAGCAGTTTTCAATTGAGTATCGAAAATGATCCTGGATTGCTTTGGGTTTGTTTTTCTTGGCTCTGTGATTGGTTTAGAAAACTCACACTACCATCTCAACCAATCAAATTAGTACAAAACTAAAACCAATCCCAACTTTGTTGTTCGTGTTTCCCCGCCCTTCAAGCAGGTGGTTTGTTTTCACCTTGAGTTCTCATTGGTTAATGATGATGGTAACCTTTGTTCTGATTGATAGTTGTGATTACTTTGGTTTTGATTTTTCAACAATCAATTGAAAACTGCTGTACCACTCAATGACACGGGTCAATTATCGTTATCTCCATTCAATAGTTAAAAAGTTCCTAAGGCTGTTTATGAATCGTGTAGCATCGATCGTGCTTGACATTTTGGATTACTGTATAACATCACTACTTTAATGTTGCCTCTTGTATTATACCTTTACTAAGCATAAGCATTCGTATTCTTTTATTATTGTCTGTATATCTGCTTTTCTCCATTTCTTTCCTATTTTCCTTTGCTGTCAAATCTTTGAGAGTCAAATGACTGCTATTTTTATTATGCATTAAAAACTATTTATATCTTCACTAGAAAGAATTCGTGCCTTTTTTTCCGCAGAAAAAAAAAAAGAGTCTTTTTGTGACGCTATGAGTGAGGGCCGAAATTAAAGTTTTGCGAAGAGGTGAACTAGTGAGTCCACCCAATTGCATCTACTCATAGTTTACCTCGCTCGCGTTTAAGTAAATCCAACAAGGGCTTTTCCCTTCAAACGTAGCTTGAGAAGCAGAACTGATCATCAGAGGTAATATCCAAGGAGCTATTTCACGATATACATGTAATTGTGGTGAGATGGAACGGCGCAAAAGCACAATACAAGTGGTATAAATCAAGTGACTGACAGATGATTTGAATTATCAACTGAGTTGATAATGAAAATTGGCAACCGTAACGAGTTTCTGAAGCTGAACTTTTTTATCGTTAGCCCCTGGTAAGAGCAAATCAGAGACGGTAGAACTTAGATGGTCAAGGATAGAGAAGATTACAATAGATTGCAAACAAACTTGACAAATGTAAGCTAAATTATTCAAGATACACAAACTATCAAGTAGCTTGTTTGTAATCCTAAGTATAAAATAATAAAAAGAACGAATTCACTTTAATATAAAGCCGAAGATTATTACTTTAACTCCACTATCTGCGGTATTATTATGAAGGATTACTTTTTTAGCACAAAGAGAAATTGGAAGTCTTCATACGAGTGGAGATTGGGCATAACTTGATTGTTGACATCATTCCCTTTTCTATTATCTTTACACCGCTATCTTAATTCTTGAGTCAAAGGAAATCTATGAGCAAAGCCTGTTACAAAGTTTAGGTTTACATTATCTCATTATTGACTTCTTTCTGTAAATAGAGGACATAAGTAGTGAAATTGGTGTTTATTTTGAAATAAATTACACACAACTTATGCAAATTTAACGTAATAGGATGGACGTGATTGCTTTACAAAATCTCCCAGATATAAACAATACACAGTTTTGAAACAGTTATTTCGACACTTTAAAAGTTTAGTCTATAGAGGTCAGGGGCCGCCTATAGGTTATTTCGGCTGAGGCCATACAGCTAACATCTTGCTTAATAATTTTCCTTTAATCTGGTAAAATAGACATTCATTTACTTTGGGATGGGGAGATTTTTCATACGTGGGTAATTTTCCAAGCAGTAGGTTTTTAAAGGTAACATAAAGGACCATGTGACTTTTTTCTGGGAGAAAAAAAGTAATCCTACGCACTGGAATTTGCTCGAATTGTTCATTTTATATTTTTTTAGCCGCAAATGTTCTTTCTAGTGCAACGTTGCCAAGATACGCTTAAGCAATGTTTATTTAATTACAAGAGATTTAACATTTAAAGATAATATTATTTTTGAATATTTGTGTTTTCCGTTATCGCGGCGTATTCCATTAAGCCATTTTTGCTGTTTCAACAAGGCTTAAAAAAAAAACCGGAAATATATGCAAACTTCCTGCAGAATACAACGGAAAGTGGTCAGCCACTTAAAAATATCCGCACAACAAATTGTAACTTAAGTGAGTGGTATTACGAAATTGCAAGTCAGATTCATTATTAGATACGGACATTTTTCTTGGTTTAATAAGACGTGTGAAGTATGCGCTGACTGAAAAGAGGACGCCTATCTAAACAAGATTTTCTCATGGATTTGCACAATGGGCAGATTTCACCTTTCAATCCCCACACTGCATAATCCCTTGGTTCTTGAGCCAACCATGCACGATTTCCAAGTCAAATGAAATTGATACGCCAGTGTCATCTTAAAACTGCGCTCGTTTCGTTCGATTTCCTTTGCTAAAAATAATAATGTAACGTAGGATAATTGTCTTAAGAGTCCTCTGTCCAATCATAGCTGGAATATGCCGAGTATAGTAGAAAAATGTCACCTTTTCTATAGAGCTTTGTAAATCTCTGCTCATGTTGCTAAGGAATTACTATTATTATCTTGGGAAAATGGCATATGAGGCTGCTGCTCTTAGAGGCAATAAAAGGTCGAGGAAATAAAGTGCGATCATCTTTCTGACGCTCGACCGATCAGAGAGAACGAGTAAGTAATAGCTTTACTGCATTCATGAGAAGATTGAAAAGTCTTTGGGTTTGGTACAACAGGAAAAATAATGGCCGCTGGAGCCGGTGTTTCTTTTGTTTGCATAGTTTTGTCTTCCATCCTTTACAGAAGCTCAGCTCTTCCTGCTGCCTTGCGATCAGGTAAGTATTCTCACATGAAGTTTTCTTTAGAAGATAAATTTCATGAGGGTTGGTAATTTTAACCAAAATCAAAATTACATTTAGGGAGCCATTTTTTTTTCAGTTGCCGGCACACTTAAATTAATCTTGTGAAAGAAAGTGTTAGATTTTCCGCTAGTCTCTTTTGCATTCAGACTAGTCTCCTTATTATTCGCACATTTACAAGAGAATCAATGACCAGGTACAGATTTTCTCCTAGTAATTTTTTTCTGGATTCTTCGACGTGCGATATTTTCTTTGTCTTTGAAAGTGCAGGGGTAAGGACTCATCTAGCAAAGCTTATATTCTCAAATAATGGTGTAATAACAGTCAAATCTTCATTAACTTTCTCAGTGCATGGTTGGCATTTTCAACAAGGTCTTGACATCTTCAACAAGAGAGCGTCCTGGGAATAATTATAAGAAGAAATAGATAAATAAAGCCTATTAAAGAGAGAAAAAAAGTTCAAAGTTTAGCTTGATAAGTAGTCAACAAGCCATGGCAGAATTAGTGCCATCTCCAGAAGTGCCATTCAGGGAGTTTATCAACCTTTTAAAGACAAACATTTTTGACAAGGGGAGCTGTAAAGAGACCAATAGCATACAGTGAAGGAACTGATCTAAAATTGAGTTTATTGCGCGAGCTGTTCAACCTGTCACCCTTAAATCACTAATAATCTGTGCGTGCATTCAGCTGTGATTAGTACAAGAGAAAACCAATTGTGTTTTCTTTAGCCTCATGGCAATATTATCAGAGACACGTTTATTAAGGCCACTCTCAAGCCTTCCGGAGCTGCGTTAAGTTTCAAATTGCACTGTAGAAACAGTACGACTCGCGCGTCCGATGAAGCGCGAGTAATTCCCACGTACTGTACGCGCGAAACACGCACGCATCGTCGAAGAGTCTACATATTTTGTTTTCTTTCTTCATAGAGTTCAAGTGTTGCGCTAGCGAAACCGTTTTGTTCTTCGTTTTCATCTCACTTTTTTGTTGTTACTAATTTTGCAACAGACATAACACATGGTGCACATTGATTAACGTTGCCTTAGAGCAAGCAATTAGTATTGTGTTCCATACTTGACTGGTAAATAAAGCTTAAAGTTCGAGTTTCGTCTAGGCTGGCAGAGCCAGATCAGTTGGAGTAGAGAAAAAGAGGCTAATCCACCACTGTAGACACTCTTTCATCTTTTCAGTTAATAGAGAAAGTGAAGAAGAGGGAATATCAGGTCATCTGGACAGAGCCAACAAAGGTTAAAAAATAGTTCAGCAGAGCGCTTTTCCATCGAGTGTCGTAAAACCAAAACCAAAGTTATCACAACAGCCAATAAGAAAGAGGGAAAATACATTTAAGAGCCAATGACAATCCAAAGTAAAAACACTGAACGAAACTGCCTAAAACGCGCGGGA